CCTGAGCATCCTCTGACACATCACCGCTAAATGATGTAGGTCGAAGCCTCCCAAATCTCTCAAGTCTCCTCTGCTTATCATCTGCCATAACGGGGACTACCGGGGCCTGAGCAGCTGCAACCGACTGGGCTGGTAGTGCCCCCGGTATTTGAAGTCCCTGTACTACATGCTCTGAAGTACGGGCAATAGGGGTATGAGTACCTCCCCCGTCCTGAGAAGTGGCTAGTTCGGCCTGAGCCGAAACCAGCTGAGTAAGGCATGTGCAAACATTCAATATCTGTGCTAGAGCCTCCTGAAAGCCTGGAATCACAATAGGCACAGTTGGTGTCTGAGCTGGTCCCGTCGGCTCAACTATATCTGGAATCTGCTCCTCAGCTAGAGAAACTGGTAGTGCTACATGTGCTGCTCCAACTGCTGTACGAGCTACACCTCAACCTCTACATCGGCCTCAGCCTCTACCACAGCCCTGGCCTCTCGCGGCCCTAACTGGTGGCACTGGTGGTTGACCGTCCGATCCGGTAGTACGTGTCCTCACCATATGTGAGAGAATAGAATAACAGAACTTTAGTTTCCGAAATCAACAAATTCACATGATAGAATAAAAGAAAGTGAAATTTCCCTAAGGGTTTGACAGCCTCTCGAAGATAAGTACAGACGTCTCTGTACCGATCCGCAAGACTCTACTAAACCTGCTCATGACTGGTGAGACCTATGTAACCTAGGCTCTGATACAAAACTTGTCACGACCCAAAATCCTAACCTGTCGTGATGGCGTGTATCTCAATACTAGGCAAGCCGACAACCTCAATAAACCACAATTTCTTTTAAGTTTGAAAACATAATATTTGAATTCCATAGAAAATCTCACAAACTACTGGCATAAAATACATTTCCAAAACCCGTTGTCACTAAGTACATGAGCATCTAAATAATTACAAAGTCTGATTAATAAAAACACTGTCTGAAAATATAGAACAGTCCAGTAACTGAAAGGAAGAGAGTCAACGTTAGCGGATGCCAAGCAGCTACCTTGATAGTCTCCAACTGATAACACTGTGAGATCTAACAGTCGCCATATCCGGAAGTACTTGGATCTGCACACGAGGTGCATGGTGTAGTATGAGTTCAACCAACTCAGCAAGTAATAATACTAAATAAAGAACTAAAAGTAGTGACGAGCTTCACAGCTATGTCCAATTACAGTAACTCCCAAGATAAGAAAGTAGCTTTCATGTTCGACAATTAAGGCCAAAACAGTAATTTCATGTCAAGTTCAACTGAAGCAGAAGATAATATCTCTCAGAATGTTTCAAAACAATGATATATAACAGTTGTAGTACAACAATAATGAAATCAATGCATCCACTTAGAGCAATAGTCACTCAGTCCTCTCACTCGCTCAACACTCGGCACTCGGCACTCGTATTCAGTAGGTACCTGCGCTCCCTGGGGGTGTGTACAGACTCCGGATGGGCTCTTTCAGCCCAAGCGCTATAATCCGCAAGGACAACTCACGTGTTGCACGAACAACTCACACGCTATAGTATCAATATCTGGATCAGCACGGACAACTCACGTGCTATAGTATAATATCTGGATCCGTACGGACAACTCACGTGCTGCACGGACAACTCGCGTTCTATAGTATTAATATTTGGATCCGCACGAAAAACTCACGTGCTATAGTATAATATCTGGATCCGTACGGACAACTCACGTGCTGCACGGACAACTCGCGTTCTATAGTATTAATATTTGGATCCGCACGAAAAACTCACGTGCTATAGTATAATATCTAGATCCGCACGCACAACTCACGTGCTATAGTATCAATATCTCACAATCAGGACCTCAGCCCCACTCAGTCATAAATCTATCCAGTCTCTCGGGCTCTCGAAAATCATGAAAATCAGCCCCAAAAGAAATGAAATATTTTATCAACAAGGAACAAAAGAGACTGAGATAAAATAAACAAGTAAACTGCGACTGAGTACAAAATAGCAATTTAGCAGATAATTCAACATGTACACCACCTCTGTGGGTCCCTACACTGCCAACACATAATCTAAACATGATTTGTGGTTCAATTTCTCTACTACGTGGAGAATGTACGATAACAACATATTATTCAACTACATAGATCCGTGGAATTTGACCAACTCATAATTCCCATGGTGCACGCCCACACGCATGTCACCTAGCATGTGCGTCACCTCAAAACCGATCACATAACACATAATCTAGGGTTTCATACCTTCAGAACAAAATTTAGAACTGTTACTTACCTCAAACCGGGTAATTCTTTATTCTACTATGCCTTTGCCTTGCGAATCGGCCTCCAAACGTCTCGAATCTCGTCACAAATAATTCGATTCAGTCAATACAAATTATAGCAATTAATTCCATATGAAAATACTATTTTTTCAACAAATTCTAAAATTTTATCCAAATATCGCATGTGGGGCCCACATCTCGGAACCCGACAAAAGTTACAAAATCTGAACACCCATTCAACCACGAGTCCAACCATACCAATTTTACCAAATTCTGACATCAACTTGACCTCCATATCTTAAATTATTATTTTAAAATCCATAGGCCCAAATTCTCTAATTTCACCTCAAAAACACGTAATATAGTCGAAATACTCAATGATAATCCAATATTATTGACTAACAATGAAGCTTCCTTACCAAGCGCCCTTGCGTTTCTGCGATTAAACGCCCGCATGTGCGAGGTCGCTTCTGCGGTTACCTGCCGCTTCTGCGGTCGCAGCCCCAGCCACGCCTGGCCACATCTGCGATGGGGAGCTCTCTTCTGCAGGCTCGCACCTGCGATGGGATTTCCGCAGGTGCGATTACACCAGCAGCTTCCAACTTCAGCAATTCTCTAAGTTCCAAACTCTATCTGTTAATCACCCAAAATCAACCCGAGGCCCCTGGGACCTCAATCAAATACACCAACAAGTCCGAAAATATCATACGAACTTAGTCGAAGCCTCAAATCACATCAAACAATGCTAAATAAATGAATCATACCCCAATTCAAGCCTAATGAAACTAAGAAATTTTAACTTTTACATTCGATGCTGAAACCTATCAAATCAAGTCTGGTTGATCTCAAATTTTGTACATAAGTCATAAATGACGTAACGGGCCTATTCAAAATTTTAGAATAGGATTCCGATATCAAAAATTCAACTTCTCCGTCAAACTTCCAAGCTTAAATTTCTATTTCTTTCATTTCAAGCCTAATTTGACTACGGAGTTCCAAATAATTTTTCGGACAAGCTCCTAAGTCCAAAATCATCATACAGAGCTATTAGAATCATCAAAACTCTATTCCGGGGTCATTTACATATTAGTCAATATCCGGTCAACTATTTCAACTTAAGTTTTAAACCTTGGAGCTAAGTATTCCAATTCATTCCAAAATCTCACCGGACCCGAACCAATTACCCCAGCAATTCACATAACAACTGTAATGCATAAATTCAGTAGTAAATGGGGAAACGAGGTTGAAATACGTAAAATAATCGGTCGGGTCGTTACATTTGGTTGGACTAAATAATTAAATATTTACATGTCAACATTTATATCGTGAAAATAGCACGGGATAGCTAATTTTCAGACTAGGTATTTGAAAAATAGTCAGTATTTGTAAAATCATTAAAAATAGTCTCTATTTTACTGAAATTCAAAAAGTTCCAGCATAATATGCTCGATTATGGAGCTCATGCATATAAACTTCCAGCATATTATGTTGCAACTCCAGCAAACAGAAAGTTTTAACATAATATGCTGGATTATGGAGCTCATGCCTATAAACTTCGAGCATATTAGTTGGCGCTCCAGCACATTATGAAATTCCAATACATTATGCTGGAAGTTCATATGTAAAAAATTCGAACTCCAGCATATTATGCTGAAATAGTTCTAGATTTTTAAGGATATTTTTATTCAAATTTTATCTTTACATGAAAAAATGGCTAAATTTTGATTACTTTTAAAATTGTAGCTATTTTTCAATTATCAGTTGTAAATTTGGGTATTTCTGATTTTTTTTTTCCCATTTATATTCGCAGAGAATATCAGTTGCTCAAACCTTCAAAAATATTTCACATTTACATAAATATTTTCAAATAAAATAATTTCTGCCAATGAAGCTATAAATGATACATCTCAAGAAAAGCAGCAAAATAGCACTTTCCTTTAATTTTCCAATAACTCGCTGCTCTCAAACAAAAATGATTGATCACTAATTGACTACTTTTTTTTGTTTTGTTTTGTTACTCTATGGATATAAAAATTTTACACAGCTTTTATGGTTAAGAGTTGGAGATAAGATAAATCTAGGATTTGTTTGTTCATATAAAATATTTTTTTTGAAACTCATCTTCAAAACATTATTTGGTTATACATTTAATTAAGTAGGCATTTTATTGAGGCAGCTAAGTAGTTAGCACATGACAAGGATGTGCATTAGTTAGTTAGGCGGTTCTAATTATTGTTAGAAGGTTGTTAGATTAGTAATGAGTATTAGTTAGATAGTTAGTGGATGTTTTAGATTTTGTATAAATAGGTGTACACTGTATAGATTTTTCTTAGTCGAAAATGAGAATAGTTGATTCTCTGTCACTCGTCTCCTTTCTCTGTTAATTGTCCTCCATAACTGAAGCTCAGAACTCAGCTTGTATGGCTGTGTAGCTCAGTTTTGTTCATGGTATCAGAGTAGAGAGGCCATTAATATGGATCTAAGCTCATCGATCTCAACTTAATTTTCGCAATTCGCTTTGATTACGTAATTTTATCTTCATTTCTGTAATTCCAAGGCACAAATTGAAGAATTCATACAATGGCGACTATTGATAATACATTGTCAGATAATTTAGGAGTTGTCTTAATCATCCTCTATTTCTACACTCAACAGATAATTCAGGAGTTGTCTTAATCTCACTGCAGTTAACAGGATCAAACAATTACTCTATGTGGAGCAGGGCAATGCGTATCGTGATATTAGGTAACAACAAAATAGGATTCATTGAAGGCACCTGTAAGAAGGAAGATTACGGTACGAATTTGACAGATATGTGGGAGAGATGCAATGTGATTGTTCTCTCGTGGATAATGAACTGTGTATCGAGTGATTTGCTGAGTGGAATCGTGTATTCTTCGAATGCATGTACTATTTGGAAGGACTTAAAGGAGAGATTTGATAAGGTCAATGGATGTGGAATCCTCCAGTTACACAGAGCTATAGCCACTGCAAATCAAGGAACAAGCTCAATTGCAATTTATTTCTTAAAGTTACGTGAACTTTGGGTTGAATTTGACTGTTTGGAACCAACTCTTGGTTGTGATTGTCCAAAGTCAAGTGAATATGAGGTTTTTATGTGTAGGCAGAAGTTATTGCAGTTCCTCATGGGACTCAATCAGGCATATGAACAAGCACGTGAGCATATCATCATGATGTTATCCACTCCCAACTATGAATAAAACCTACTCTATGCTGATGGAAAGAGAAAACCAAAGAAGTATGGCAAATGCAGTACTTCCTAGTGACAATGGTAAGATGGCATCCCTGTTAACTATAAAAGGATTCAATACTCAGAAGCCTTGGAAGAATTATAAGCTGTTATGTGTTTATTGCAAAATGAAAGGGCATACTAGAGAAGGATGATATAGATTAATTGGTTACCCTGATGACTTCAAGTTCAAAAATAAATTTGTAGGCAGTACAACTCACAATGCAATGGTAGGGGAACCCAAGCCACATACTGTAGCAGGAAGAGAAGGGAACTAGGATGCTTGCAAGGTTCCTCAAATTCCTCATTTCACAGCAGAACAGTACAACCAGATACTTAGGCTGCTCAATAAGGAGAATATGCCAGAAGCCTCAGCTAATATGGCAGGTAGTATTAATGCCTTCTTTGTTGATGGTAATAATCATGAGTGGATTATAGAAACTGGGGCTACAAACTACATGACTTCTAATTTGGACATACTAAAAAACAAATTGGAAGTTGCTGGAATACATTCAAAGAAAGTACATTTGCCTAATAGAGAGGTATCAAATGTGACTCATATGGAATCATGTAATATAGAAAATGCAGGAAGAATTGATAATGTGTTATACTTACCTAAGTTCAAGTATAATTTATTGTCAGTGTCTAAGATCATAAAGGAGTTAAGTTGTTGTGCAACTTTTTACCCTGACTTCTATCTACTTCAAGACCTTTGCAGTGGGAAGGTGAAGGTGATTGGTAAAAAAATGAGAGGCCTTTACCTATTACCACAAATTACTGCTAGGAATAATAAAGGGATACTTCAAGGTTTGGTTGCAAAGAAGGCAGATTTAGACATTGGACTCTCGCATAGAAGGCTTGGACATGCTTCAACATGAGCATTGAAGCATTTTTTTTCATTACCTTATGATGACTGTAAAAGGAAGATAGACAATTGTAATGTGTATCCTCTAGCTAGACATTATAGGTTACCATTTAGCACAAGTAGTAACAAAGTTGAAGATGTGTTTCACTTGTTATATATTGATGTATGAGGACCATATGTTGTGCAAACTTTTGATGGCAGTAAACTATTTTTGTCAATTGTTGACGATCATTCACGGATGAATTGGGTTTACTTGTTGAAACTGAAAAGTGATGTATTAATTTTACTAAGAAAAACAATTTGAAGCTTGTTCAAACTCAGTTTAATAGACAAGTTAAAATTGTTAGAACACATAATAGAACAGAATTTGTAAATGAGTCATGTAGTAAGTTGTTCCAATCGAATAGAATCATTCATCAGCGCACATGTATTTACAGACCTCAGCAGAATGGAATTGTTGAAAGAAAGCACATGCATGTACTAGAAGTAGCAAGGGCAATAAGGTTTCAAAGGCACATACCTCTGAGATTTTAGGGACATTGTGTGCTAGCAGCAGTGTATGTCATTAACAGGTTACCATCAAGTGTATTAGCAGGGAAAAGTCCTTTTGAAGTCTTTCACAAGAAGAAGCCAAACATTGAACATATTAGGACAATTGGTTGTTTGTGCTTTACAAAGAGGATGAATGTTCATGACAAGTTTGCAGCTAGATGTCACGACCCCAATTTCCCTTCGTAGGATGTCATGACGGCACCTAATCTCTAAAACTAGATAAGCCTAATAAACATGCAGAAAGACTGAAATAAAGGTTTAAAAGTTTCAAAAACTGTAATAATTATATAAAATAAAGTCTGCCACTCAACAGATGTACAATTCCCAAAATCCGACGAAATATAAGCCACAAGCTCTATGAATTAATACCAAATAACTATATACAATAGTGTCTATATAAGGACAAGGAAGTAAAATAATCTAGGTGGAGGGGGACTATGAGGCCTGCGGACGCTGACAGGTGTACCTTGAAGTCTCCACGCATGGACGCTACTCACTAACGCTCGGACTGGTATGAAGTACCTGGATCTGCACAAACAATATATGCAGAAGAGTAGCATGAGTACACCACAATGTTACCTAGCAAGTGCCAAGCCTAACCTCGGTAAAGTAGTGACGAAGTCAGGTCAGGGCCCTACTGAAATTAAGTAAAAGGCTGAACAAATGTAGGCAGTGTAATAATGATAGTAACAAAATTTAAACAACGGATAGCATAACAAGATTAGCTACGCAGAACTAAGCAAATAGTACAACACGGAGAAATATAATTACTAATATGCTAAGGAAACAATGATCAAAGACAAGTACAAAGAAATTGAAAAATGTCAACAAGAGTCACTACAGAGGTACCGCTTCATAGTCTCAAATCACAAATAAACTACAATCTTTCCCTATATCACCGCGGGAGCCTTTACATTTGATTTTTAAAAATTATTTTTTCCGAAATAATATCTCGCGTTTTAGCCACCTTATCACACCGCATGGTTTGTAGTAGCTCCCCTACTAGCCACGCGTATCAAGTCCACCTTATCTCACGCATGCGTTTCAACACCAGGACATATACCACGCATGCGTATCAATATCACAACGTATCACAAATCGCACCTCAAGTGCCCAATATCACAATTTGCCAGAGAACCCAAACAATAACAGAGTTTCACAATAAGGAGCCCATGGTTCAACCACAATGTACACAAGCCTCAACAAATAGCAACCTGAAGAATAACTCAATAGAATAATATTTAACAACTAAATACTTTGCGTCAATAGAAATCACGGCATTTGCAACTCAATGCCAATTTCAATGACAAGATATTCCAAGAAATAGAAATTTCAAGTAAAGAATTCGACAGTTAAATAATAAATACTAAATAAGAGAAACAAGAATTTCAACTAAACATGTTGAGCAATTAGCAAGTAAGAGATAAGACAAGTAGACATGTGAAATTAGACTAAAATGATGACTATAACATATTTTGGTAACTCAATTAAGACATGGAAGGAATTTACTTAGCTCAAAATCGGTAATTTACATATTTATCCCATGTACATACTTGTCACCTTGCCTACACGGCTCTTACACATCACAATTATCAGAAGCAACACTAATCCTAAGGGAAACTTCCCCCATACAAAGTTAGGCAAGCCACTTACCTCAAACCACGCTAAACCAATCCACTCGAAGGCCTTTCCTTCAATTTTTCAACTCCGAATGGCTCGAATCTAGCCAAAATAATTTCATACTATAAATATAACTATAGGAAACTAATTCAAACAATGAAATTACGATCTTTGCGAAGAATTGAAAAGTCGACCCAAAAAGTCGACCCAGGCCCACATCTCGGAATCCGACCAAAAGTATAAAATCCGAACACCCATTCGATATCGAGTCCAACTATATAAGAATTACCCAAATCCGACATCAATTCGCCTTTAAAAATTCAAAATTTTAGCCTAAGAAGTTTCTACTATTTTTTTCTCAATTTTCAACTCCAAAACACTAATTTAATGATGAAATTATCAATAGATTCATGTAAATTAATCAAAAACGAGTTAGAATTCCTTACTCCAAAGTTTTCTCTGAAAAACCCTCGAGAAATCGCCTCCCACCGAGATCCCTATGTCCCAAAATGAATTATGAAAATTAACCCTTGCCAAGCCCCTTTTTCTGCCCAGTTAAATCGCACCTGCGACCCAACTTCCGCATCTACGGCTCCGCACCTGCAGAATTTCCATCACATGTGCAGAGTTCACTTAACTCAGAAAACTCTGCTTCTGCGGATAAAACTTCACACATGCGAGTGCGCTCCTGCGGAGGATTCTCCGCTTCTGCGATGAACGACCAAGCATCCCTCTTCCGCATCTGCGACCACTTCTCCGCACCTGCGGACGCCCAGATGTGGTCCACACCTCGCACCTGCGATCCCAGCTGGGCTAAGCTATTTTCGCACCTGCGACCAGTAGCTCGCTTTTGCGAGCCCGCACCACGGCCATTCCCTCTGTAGGTGCGAAGACACCAGAAGCTGCAAATCTTCAGCAAATTATTCTGGATTCTATCCGAATCACACTCGAGGCCCCCGGGACCCCGTCCGAATATGCCAACTAGTTCCAAAATATATAATGGACCTACTCGAGGCCAAAAATCACATCAAATAATATAAATTCTTCGAATCGCAACCCAAATTATGAACTTTTGAAATCCGAAACCAACGCCGATTTATACAAAAACAACTCCGATTGATCTTAAATTTTGCACACAAGTCATAAATGACATTATAGACCTATTCCAACTTCCAGAATCGGAATCCTACCCCGATATCAATAAAGTCTACTTCCAGTTAAACTTTCTAAAATCTTTCAACTTTCGCCAATTCATGTCGAAACGACCTACAGACCTCCAAATCAACATCCGGACACATTCCTAAGACCAAAATTATTACACGGAGCTATTTGAGCCATCAAAACTCCATTTCGGAGCTGTCTTTATATAAGTCAAACTACAGTCAACTCCTACGACTTAATCCTCCAACTTAGGGACTATGTGTCACATTTCACTCCGAAACTCTCCTGAAACCAAAACCAAACACGCCGACAAGTGACATAACTATAATATAGCATAAAGGAAGTATAATTTAGGGGATTAGGGCTAAAATACTTAAAATGATCGGCCGGGTCGTTACACTAGCATAACAACAACAGTTTTAATGGGCTATTCAGAAGTCACAAAGGGTTACATCTTATATTATTTGACTTAGCAATGTTTTTTGTGAATAGGGATGTTATCTTCAAAGAGTTCTTATTTCCTTTTAAATATAAGAAACAAGAAAAATAACATCTATTTGTAGACATAAAGCTTTTATAACATGATGCAGCAGCCAACTCACCAACTGACATTCCACCAAATGCCCTCAACATTAAAGAGCAGGTTGTTCTTGATGATGTTGCAGGGACTACTGATGAAGAAGAGGGCATAACTTTAACAAATCATGCTCACCACCAACATTTAACTAATGGGGAGACAAAACAAATAAATGATGAACTATAAAGCCATAATGAAGTGCAAAGCAATGTTGAAGAGGGTACTAGGAAGTCCACTAGAGACAAACGATTACCCGTTTGGATGACTGACTATGTGACTGTAGCTGCACTAGATCAGTCACCTAAACCTTATTTCATTTGCAATTATGTGTGTTATGATGGATTGAAGCCAGCCTATCAGAGTTATTTGGGATCTTTCTTAGCTGTTGTTGAACCTAAAACATTCTATGAAGCATCCAAAGACAAGAGGTGGATTGAATCCATGAAGGCAAAAATCCAAGCCTTAGAAGACAACAAGACATGGGAACTAGTGGCACTACCAGCAGGAAAGACTCTTATAGATTGCATATGAGTTTACAAGGTAAAGTACAAAGTAAATGGAGACACTGAAAGGTTCAAGGAACGCTTGGTAGCCAAGGGGTACAGCAGAAAGAAGGCTTGGACTATCATGAAATATTTTCCCCAATTGTGAAAATAGTTACTGTGAGGGCATTGATTTCTATTGCAGCAACTGAAGGGTGGCATATATATCAAATAGATGTATATAATGCCTTCCTTCAAGGGGATCTCTATGATGAAGTGTACATGAAGTTTACTAAGAGATTTTCCAGCCATGGGGAGAATGAAGGCAAGTTGTGTAGACTTGTGAAATCCCTATATGGGCTGAAGAAAGCAAGCAGACAGTGGAATGTCAAGTTAACCGAGGTATTGATTCATTAAGGATTTGTGCAAAGTTCTATAGATTATTCCTTTTTACAAAGAAGCAAGACAGTAAAATAATGGCCATCCTTGTATATGTTGATGACATGCTAATAACTGGTAATGATATGATGCATATAGAAGAAACCAAGAAGCAATTGCATTAGTCCTTCAAGCTTAAGGATTTGAGAGAACTAAAATATTTTTTGGGCATTGAATTATGTA